CCAGTGTGATTTTCCCTTCTCCTTGTGTGTTACTCATCTATTCTGTCTTCTTCCTCTTGTCTTTATCTCCTTCCGTTCCCCTTTCTGTATTCCTCTCGACTGTCTCTCTCTACTTCCGTTTCCCTTTTTCCTGTATCCCTCTCGACGGTCTCTCTCTCTAATTCCGTTTCCCTTTTCCCTGTATCCCTCTCTTCTTCCGTCTGTCACTCAATGTCTCTCAACGTCACTCAAGGTTGCTCGACTGTAACTCTAACGACCCTCAAACTTCCCTCGAAGCTTCCTGCTTGAAGCTGTTTTCCAAAGATTCCCTGAATCTGACCAATTTACGTTTGGCAACGGAGTTCTACCTCTGAACAAAATCGTTTATTGTAGCGAACTGCATAATTCCTAAGAAACATCGGTTATTATCCCAGGGTAAAATAAAGGCCCACCCACCTCGCGTTTCGATTGGATGGCTCTTGACTCGGTCAGTCGTTCAAACTGTCAATCATCCAAATGTCTGTCTGTGGGTCCATCAAATGTTACAGTCTACATGTTTGGCGGGTCTTCTGTCTTTTGAAGTGGTTACGTAAATATCCGCCCGAGCTGAACAAAGACCAAGTTACGTAAGGGGATTAGCTAACGAAGGAAGGAACTTCCCCAACATCAAAGCTGTTAAGCCGGAGTACAATTTTACACAGGTATACATTAAGTCAGAACAACCAGTTATGCGTACATATACAACACAAGGGGTTGGGGTAAAAAGTCACACTTTGGTTGTAACATATGTAAATTGTCTGGTTTTCATTTCATTCCAAACATTAAACATACTATTAAATTAACTAGATTTAGTCATATATACTACATTTGGCAGATTGTACAATTGATTCCATAGGTAGAGGATAGGTACGTCGTACTATTTTGGAAGACCGTATAGTGGACAATTCCATACCTAGCGGTATAGGCAGATTGTACATGTATACTACTTGAGGCAGACTGTACCATTAATATATAATATAAATTGCAGTATAGGCAGATCGTACCATGTAACGTTTTCCACTCTTAAACACAGGGGTTGCTTTTTTTTAAATATAATGAATTATTTGATAACCAATATAGGTGCGAAAATTCTTTTCTGATTTCTTAAAGATGCATAGAAAATGCTGATAATATTGGCATGATGGCGCTTTTTCTTAGGTACAGTTAGAACGTCAGCACATCTGTTACTATGCGCCCTCCCCTCTCCCTCTCATCCCTTCCCTCCCCCCGAAACGTCACTTTTTATAACACACAACAGACCTAAATTCTGATTTGAATATTGTTTAATACACTGATATATCTGATTTTCTCGGGTTGGGTATAGGAAACTTATCGATCGTACCATCGATTAGGTCATCCACTTTACGCGTACATTGTTAATCACAGTGAGTTTCTGGCATCAGTCCGTAAAGTGAGAGATAAGAAATTAAGCTGCTTAATTTTGTTAGTGCCAATCGTCGATTTTTACAGGTAATGATTAGCATTTTCGTCCTTTGAATTCTGTTTTTTTTATTGATGTAGGTTGTATTAATCGTTTACTTGGCCATTTTTTCAAGTGAATATTTCTTGTGTTTTATAATAGATTCGTGGATTGTTTATTTATCGTCTCACTGACAATGGAGAATGATGCAACCACGTTAGGAGTAACGTCGATTGGAGTATTTCTTGAAACATTCAGAGTGCACTGTGATGTGGTATAGTACTGAACTGAAATGATTACATTGTTTCCTTATAGTTTATTTTTATTTCATTTTTTTATCACAAATAATAAAGCTCATAAATACAATCATGGAATCCAAACATATGTACTGAGTTCAAGTAAAGGTCAGTGCTAAGACTGGGGTCAACAGTAGGTCAATGCCACCGAGTGAGCCTATCGAGAGAAGGAACGTTTTTAATCTCAGCAATGGCGGCATTGCGCATGTCTTAATGCAGAGGCAAACTCGGTCGTTTGGCTATGATATTGTTTGCGTGCAAAATCAAAACAAGGACAAAAGTGTAAACTCAATCGACCGAGATAAATATGTTTTGTGTACAGTTTTCATGTAAATAACATGGTAAGATGGTATGACCCAAGCATAGGGAGAGCAGGTATAATGTATTTAAATTTAAGTTACAATTAAGTAAGTAGTTACTATTTTTTTTTCATTTATAAAGAACTATTTCAGACGCCTGACCGATTTAGTATGCTCAATACTTCGATAATAACTTATCGGTAATTAACTTAAAGCCAGTCTGAAATTACAGAAGTCATGGTCTTACCATTTAAGACGTATCACATTCATAAAACAAAAATATCAGCGTCGTGGACTTGCATATTGGAATAATTCATCATTGCACATCGGCTTGTTGCCTTTATTTCCTTTTCATCTTGGACTCAAAAGGTATTCAAACTTAACACCCTTAAGGGCAGTAGTGGAATTGAGTCATTTTTTCCGCGTAAAGGTAATGTAAAATTTTTGTTATATACGGTTAATTCACACAATTTACAGACAAAATACCTTGACATTAAATATTTTGTCAGGTTTAGTTACTTTTTAAATAGTCCTTTGATTCTTTGCAACACTAATTATAGTAAATTTTCAATTTCTGGCAAATTTGATCAGAAGTTCTCAAAAATGTATAATTGGAAATATTTTTCAAATTTGAAATGGAAAAAAGGACAGTTTGGGTGAATTTGGCAACAGAACATATATCAATTTTCCTGCTTGTAGAAGAATTTTAAGTCGTGCAGAATATCTGTACCATATTATCAGCTCCTTAAAATTTTGTTAACATTGATAGTATAAATTCTCCCAAAACATCACTCATACATTTATTCCTTTAAGAATTTGTTCTGAAAAATCCCATCGTGCTCCATTAAAATGTATATATTTAAAAGTGTTTATAAGTTTCAGTTTACTTATATCAGTTAGTTTAGCTTTCCAAATAGCTTTAGAGTTCAAGAGCAGTTTATCATTGTTTGGATTGGAAAGAAAAAAAAATTTAAAAACCATATAAGTGGTGGTGGTGGGCTTGTAATCCATTTGAAAGCAGGATTGTATTCTGTTTATGTTGAGCAGCTGTGAGATAATTTTTGTTGGTGGGAGATTGTGCTTAATTGTTTTTCTGAGGAAAATGGAATCCCACTATCATGAAATCTCTGTGTATGTATTGGATTACATATCAAAGAGAACATTTGCAAAGCACATGTCACCTAACAAGTCACTTTAAACTTTTGTTTTTGCATGAAGGCATGGTGTTTTATAGTAATGACATTTCCTTACTGTTTTTAGTGTACCATTTTTGCGCTTGCCATTGTCCACCCCCATCTCAGTAATGTGTTCCCTCATTTTTTTTGATTACATTCTCTCACATTTTTTTTATTTAGCACTACATTATTGGATGCAAGTAATACAGAAAACAGTACCTACTTCATTTTAGAAATAGCATTTTCCTTTCAGTTTTGTCATCGTTAACAGTTTAAGGGTTTTATTGAAGTTATTTTATTTGCATATATTTTCAAAAACCATTGATAGATTCTCCAGACTTTCCATACCATGCATGCCATGCATCATTATGAAACTAAAATGGTTTATTCTAACATGAGCTTATATACACCTTAATACCTTAGGGTAAAGGTCATAGAAAATTTACACTTAAGAGTTTGTTTCCAGTTTCATTTGTGGGGCAGAGTGGTCTAAAGCAATGTCCATTACGGATCACTGCCATCTCACCTCTGTCAGTGTGGGTTTGAGTCTAAGAGTATCGAATGTGGATATGTGAGAAAGCTTGCCAGTAGCTTCTCGTGGGTTGGTGGTTCTTTCGGGCGATTTCCCGGTTTCTTCCTCCACCATTAATACTGGCCGCTATGAATAGCCTGTCGTGTGCTGAAAAATGGCATTAAGCCCAACAACAACAACAACAACAACAACAACCAGTTTCATTTGGTTATATTCCAAAATCATATGTCAGATTGGCATTATACTTGAAGGAATTCATTGTGAAGCAAAGAGGATTCAATCTGTGACATGCTTACTAGACCTCTGATGTTGCATTCAAGGCCAAAGCAAAAAAAAAAATGTATTAGCTTTTATTTCCTTAAATGTTTCATAATAATCGTTCTTGGGATAAATTATTATAAAGCAAAGAAAATTCATTCTGGGACAAATGCTTGATCCATTGGGGTCAAAGTCACAGTCAGAGGGCCATGAGTAGCTGAGTGGTCTAAATCGATGACCATTACAGATCACTGCCATCTCCTCTCTGTCTACATGTTTGTGAGTCTCAGTCTCAGTCTCAGCTAACATGGGTATATGAGAAAGTAACTTCTCGTGGGTTGGTGGTTCTTCACAGGGTTTTACATGGTTCTTCCTCCACCAGTTATATTTGCCATGTATAACCCATCTTGTGCTGAAAAATGGTGTTGAACGCTACAACATCAGCCAAGTCATGGTCAGTTAGCACCAAGATTTTAGTTGAAGGGATTTCATTTGCTGATACTTTTTGTAATCCATGATGAATTTCCAGTATACTTGGATGAATCAGTGTCAAGAGTTTATTCCATTTATTTTATGTCAGGATGACAGCAGATGACTGTGCTTTATGCCTTATGCAAAATCAGTTTTGAGATATTTCATGTGCTTACATTTCCTTACATACTTCACTGATTTCCACTTGATCGATTTTTTTGTACTTTGAATAGGTCATTATGAAGCTTATGCAGTTCATTTCATGACTTGCTTTTTCATCTCTTTGATCTTGTAGTCTGGATCACAATCATAGAAAATTTATGTTTTGTTTTTGGTTAAAGTTTGTTAGTTTATATTTCCTGAATCAGTTGATGGATCAATTCTTCCATTTTGCAAAATGGAAGATTTTCAGAATAAAGGAGGGATTTAATGAAGAATTAAAGATAGGTTAATAATATAATGCATTCAGTGGCATTTTCAGCATGATTTTTTGGAAAGTTAGCATGAACTCTGCAATCGAGTATCCCAACTGATTTGGTAGCCTAAGTGGTTAGAGCATCTGCCTTGGATGTGGGAGGTCTCGGGTTTGAATTGAAGCCAAGTCATACCAAAGAACTATAAAAATGGTACATGTACTAGCACCTGCCTTAATTTGTCACTCAGCATGAAGAGGTTAGTGTTAGGACTGGTTGGCCTGGTGTTAGGATAATGTGACTGGGTTGGACATGATGCTACATATCCACTGCATGATGTCACAGTGCTAGACATCACTATCAACTTTCACAATGCAGACATTGTTGAAAAATTGTTAAAGCAATGTTAAAAATCTAAATAACACATATGCACACACACATACACACATGTAAGATTGACAGTTAACTAGGGCTATCCATGTTTGTGAAGTAAAGATAAAGTTCACACTACTTCCATGTAATTCCTTCTGGAGGCCTAGTGGTTAGAGCATCGATTCTGGCTTGGATGTGGAGGATCGTTGGTTCAAACCCCAGCAGAGTCATACCAAAGACATAAATGGTACCAACAACTGCCTTGCTAGGCACTCTGCATTAAGAGGTTAGTGTCAGGGCTGGTGAGCCTGGTGTCAGGATAATTTGACTAGGTGAGTCATGATGCTACATAACAGTGGCATGATGCCTCAATGCTAGACATCACTATAAACTGCCACACTGCAGACATCATAGCGATATTACTGAAAGTTTGTTAAAACTATGTTAAAAAATACAAAACACAAACACATTCTGTTGGTTTCTTCATAATAACTGTGCTGCCAGTTTTCATGTAAAATGAACCCAACCAATCATGTTCATTATTATGTATTTATCCCGTGCACTTTTTAAACTGTAATCATAACCATGAATTTTCAAGGGTATTCTGAGAATTTCCTATGGGGCAGAATTCATTTACAACATGTTTGGTTCTTAATAAATCTTCAAAGACCCACTTGTTTCGAACAAATTGGGGATATTTGTGTGGTTACACTGTATATCTGTTACCACATGTCTGCCTAAACCACTGCCGTAGGTGGAAATACACTCAATGTTATCATTATTCTACCCTTCTAGGGCATCTTGAGTGTAAAATGGTTTTGCATTTGGCTGCAAAGTTGATGTCAGCCAATTTAGTGTTTTTGGACTCTGTTGGTCCACTTGTTGATTTCAGTTACAAATTTATGCACCAACAGGAAAGATAACCTGTGATAAGTAGTGCCCTCTTTCATCTTTGGGAGAATCGTGACAGATAAGAAAGACATGTCATTATTATGAATTGGAGATTCAAATGTTATTTTGTTTGTTGAATTTATTTCAGGTATACAGTTAGTTTACTGTCAACATGAGCATCATATTGAGGCCAGTTTTGTCAGCCACCAGGCAGAAGGCACTCTTTTGCCAACATGCATCTGTACGTTATGTAACCGCAGTTAAAGCAGCCTCAGTTAAAGCAGCCAGGTTCACAGAAAAGTCAGAAAATATATACAAGAAAGAGTACAAATATGGAGCCCACAACTACAAACCCGTTCCTGTGGCAATTTCCAGGGCTGAAGGTAAGTGGTACACAAGTGTAACAAAATGAGGTCCATAATGTTTTTTAATTTGTGTGTGTGTTGCTTTCTTTATTTGACCTAGTGGCTAGAGCATCTACCTCAGGTGTGGGAGGTCATGGGTTTGAATCCCGGTCAAGTCATATCAAAGACTTATAAAAATGTACTAGTAGCTGCCTCGCTTTATGCTCAACATTAAGAGGTTAGTGTTAGGACTGGTTGGCTTGGTATCAGGATAATGTGACTGGGTAGGACATTATGCTATGTGTCTGTGTCATGATGCCCCAGTTCTAGACATCTCTATAAATTGTCCCACTGCAAATATCATAGTTATATGACTGAAATTCGTTTAAAGATGTGTTAAAAATAAAAAAAAACACAAAAGCACACACACTTCATTTGAAATTTATACTAAAATCTATAGTATCACTGTAAAAGTGCTCTTCACTGGATATTTCAAGCTTTTTCTTCTTTTTATATACTGAACAAGTATGTAAACTTGTCTGTTTCTGTGTCTGTCATGGAAAGAGGTGGAAAAAACTAAATAAGGACTACCTTTTTACAACTGTGAGCTTATGGTCAAACATTGGAGGTTTTGCATTAAAAAACTTGTACAGTACAAAAATCTTTGAATTGACCTATGACCATAATCAAGATTACTGTATTTTATGTATGGTACATAATATAAAATCAAAGCATTTGATTTTGACATGCATACATTTATCTGTAGTAAATGGACCTTTTAGCTTCACTGCTTGCAGACCAGAATAGTTTAAATGATAGCTTGTTGTCTGTCATCTGTTGTCTACAAATCACTGCCATCTCTATTTCTGCATGGGTTCCACTGCCATCTCACCTCTTTCTGTGTGGGTTCGAGTCTAGAATTCGGCAAATGTGGATATGTGAGAAAGCTTGCCAGTAGCTTCTCGTGTGTCAGTGGTTCTTTCCGGTGATTTTCCGTTTCTTCCTCCACCATTAATACTGACCGCCATGTATAGCCTATCGTGTGCTGAAAAAATGGCATTAAGCCCCAGAAGAACAACAAAAATAGTCTGAAGTCTTGGCAGGTAAGAAGAATAATTGGTTTTATCTTGAATTTCTGGAAAACCTTTTCAGACAGTATTATTATTATTAGTGTCTATGAGGGACTCTATCTGAACCAAAATTGCAGTTTATTGAGGGACTATTACCAAACTGAAATTGCAAGCTCTTTGAGGGACTATTCCCAAACCAAAATCACAAGCTTTTTGATGGACCTGTCCCAAACTGAAATTACAAGCTCTTTGAGGGACTATTCCCAAACCAAAATCACAAGCTCTTTGATGAACCTGTCCCGAACTTAAATTGCAAGCTCTTTGAGGGACTATTCCCAAACTGAAATTGCAAGCTCTTTGAGTGACTATTCCCAAACCAAAATCACAAGCTCTTTGATGAATCTGTCCCAAACTGAAATTGCAAGCTCTTGCAACAACCTTGTGAAAAAAGTGTTACCTTGCATTCTGCAAGCTTGTGCAAGTCAGCAGTGAAAAAACTGGCCAGCTTGCATGGATCTTTCATCTCTTCTGGCAAATTAAATTCTGGTGACAGAACAGTGCAGCATCTGTACAGTATGAATTGCCAGCTGAACTGCATTCACAGGTAACTGGCAGCATGCAATAGTCTTGATTTTAATAGCCATCATGACAACTCCATGATCTATGCTGCAACAGTAATCTTGGGTTGTACAATCAGTTACTGCACATGAATTGTTGTTACTTGCAGAAAAATTTCCCAAATGAACTTGCAAAAATTGGAGTGTTCAAAATAAAAATGGAGTCTGTGAAAACGTGACTGCTGCAGCAGCTTTGAGGTCATACTGGACAGTTTATCTGGTGAATTTTCATCCAACAATGACCTATTGCAGAAAAATGAGAACAATTTTACACTGAGGATACAAATAAAAACAAATTAATGATTTTTGTAGAAAGTATGCATGTGATATTTTGACTAGTAATCAGGTTAATTCCTTATACAACTGGTGGCTTTTGTACTGAACCAACACTGCCACCGACCCCTCTTTTTTACATTCATTTTTGATAGAAAAAAGCTATTTTGAACATTTTCCTGTGACAAGGCAGCTAAAAGAATGAGATTATGCCTTATTCATCTTTAAAGTTCACTGGTACTATAACAAATTAGCATACTTTTCCTCACCCCTCAACCTTCTTGAGTTTTAGATATTTACCTCTGTAGCAGATACAGGTAAATAATACCTAAACCAGGTCAGCTGCTCATTTGCAGCTCAAGTTACACATTTTCTCTCTAATGCTAGTCTAACTGACAGGCAGTCACCAACATGCCAGCTCATTTACAAGCCTTACTCAAAGAAAATGTAAACCACATTACAGATTTAGCTTTTGTGTGACTTTATGAATGCTGGGATTGTGATAATTAGGTTCATGCCTTCTACCTTAAAAATTATGGAGGTGTTTAAATATGAAGTTAGTAAGACCTGAGACTTTTGTACTTAAAATGAGTTAATTGTATAGGGCACATGTTACTAATGGTATGGAAAAATGGCAACCAGCCAGGAAATGGGTGAACATTTAATAGATTATATATGGGTTTGTCTGGCCAGGATTGGTTAATAATGTAAGTTATGTATTAGGAAAAAAAATCTTTTGAGACCTTATAAGTGAAAAAAAAAATAGAGACATTGTTTTATTGATGGAATTCCAGTCATTTAACACTCTTGAGCTTGGAACACTCATTACTAAAATTAACACCTGACTGGTGCAGAATTGAAGCACATGTTTCAAACACATGCAGGTCCAGAAAATGCAGCGGTTCATACATATCCTTTCCTATATACAGAAGCTGACATCCAGGTTTCATCTATACTGATAAATATAGGTTTGATCATGGGCATTCAGAAATTTTAAGTTATTGAATTTTTAATATCATGGTGTTTGCAATGGTACACTATGTGAACTGAATTAGTACTGTGATTCCTATCACCAGTCTCTAGGCTGTAAACAAGGGAGATAACCATCATTACTATCTCAATACCAAATTAACTGTCATTGAAAACAATTTTCTTTAAGCTATGGATAAATGAGGTTATATTATTATTGTTGTTGTTGTTGACCACTCAGGTGGCCTAGTGGTTAGAGCATCAGCCTCGGTTGTGAGAGCTCGCAGGTTTGAACCCCAGCCAAATCATAACAAAGACATTTTAAAAATGGTACTAACGGCTGTTTGCATGGCGCTCAGCATTAAGGGATTAGTGTTAGGACTAGTTGGCCTGGTACCAGGATAATGTGACTGGATGGGACATCATGCTACATGTCTGCAGCATGATGCCTCAGTGCTAGACATCACTAAAAACTGCCAGACTGCAGACATTTTAGTGATATGCCCAAAATTTTTTTAAAGCTACGCTAAAAATCTAAATTGCATACACAGTGTTGTTGTTGTTGTTGTTATTATTATTAAATATTTTTATATTTACCGCATTCAGAATAGTAGTATAAATCTGGTAATAGGATAGTACCGCTTGGGTGGCCTAAA